CCTACGCGCTTCTTCCTTTTTTTCTCCTTTTTTTATTTTTTCCTCGAACGTTGAATCTGAGTCGTTACAATTCTGCAAAATCGCAATGAAGTTACAAGAAAAAAAAAAAAAAAAAGAAGAAGCAATAGGAGAAACTCATTAAATAGGAAATAATTGGAAATGTCAAGTATAAATAATAAAAAAAAAAGCTCAAAAGAATCCTATGACCTTGTACTTTATTACAATCAAATTTGATAGTAGAATAAATATTTGCTTGGCTAGATTAATGCACGTGTCTGTTGACCATCGACGCGTCTCTGTGAACATTTTTACCGCGGAGTACCATACCCTGGCAAGGAGATTTGTGCACATCCTCGGTCGGCTCGTCGTCGGCTGCTCTCACTTGTATGAGGAACATTCGTCGACTTTTGCTGGACAGATTCAGATACGAACCGTGAAGCAGCAAGTAGGAGAAGATGATGATGTCACCTTTCTTAGCAGTCACGGCCGTGGCTTTCGATAAAGGATACTTCTCGGGATCAACGTAGTGATACTGGTCACCTTTTTCGTCGGTCAATCCGTGATCCTTCAATGGTCCCAGCTTATGACTACCAGGATATACCGCCAGACCGCCATTTTCCGGCGTTGTGTCATCTAGATGTAGAAACACAGCCAGCATGGTGTGATTTTTGTGGGGAAAGTAATGATAATCCTGATGCATTAAGTAAGGCGCGCCTTTCTCTGGTGGCTTTACGTGCGCCTTGGTATGATGCAGCAGAATGTCCTCAGTATCCATGATATCCTCAAGAGCGTCCAATAAATTCGGATGCATAATGGCTCGAGTAAAAGTAGCACTGTGCATTTGCAAATTATGGATGGATTTTACCTGATACATAAATGAGAGACACGTGAAATTTCGACTATAATTTTGGACAAAATATAAATAATAATGATAATAATCTATAATCTATAAGTTTGCAATTTTTTTTATATTTCTATAACTTTGTAAATTACAAAAATGAATATAACATATTTTTTTACTTACAGTATAATCAATATGGTTAGCTGCTTTCTTCATATCTTCTCCTTTCCAACCGGCCTCCAGACCTGGCAGATTTTCACGATGTTTCCTCTCGAATAATTCATTATAGACATCCGATATTTCATTTATTTCCTTTATGGAGTACACATTTGATAACTTGATGTATCCATTCTCCTGCCAGAATTTCTTCTGTTCCGGTGTTAGAAATTTCAAACTAGCCATTTCGAATCGCAAAGTTTAAATTCTTCTTATATGAAATATTAATAATCTCTCTCTTACAGCATCAAGAGACACAATATCGCATTTCGCGGCGAGTATTGAAATATGTATTACCCCACTCTAAAAATGTTTATTTGGTAGAGCTTATCTACGCACGATAAAATATGTAGATTCATGTACATTACGTTATTTAGTCAGCTAAACAATCTCATAATTCTCTCGTGAATTCGCAAGATTTCTTAAAAAAAATAATCATATAATTTGTAACATAGCTCAATGGTATAAAAATTAATTACAACTCAATCAAGATAAAAATATTTAACGTTATAATTATGTATACAATATAAAATATTCATAAAAACTACAGAATTCCTCTCTCCATACAATAAATCAGCAATAACATTCTTATCTATTTCATTATAAAATGCCTAATAATCAATAAAATCTTTTATTATTATATAATTTTGCACTGTAGTCGCGATTATATAATTTCGATTATGGATACATGGTAATGATTTATCATGCTTGTTGTTCGTTGATATAAATAAAAATACTGCATTGGCTCTTATTGATAGTGAATGGAAATTTCTATCAAATGACCTCGGGGCATTTGTCAAGTCATAATCACGTCATTGCAATGTCAGCAGTTAAAACACATTAATGTTATTAAACATATTAATACTGTCTCATAGTCTTAATTACAATTGTATAATATTAGTCTATTTAATATCCTAGAATAGAAAATTGTTTATCTTGTTTTACAAAAATTTTGAATTTTGCTATGTCACATGGCCAAATCATGGTCATGAATAGAATTTGAATCCTTTTATGATCTGTTTTGATTGATACCATCGATAGGAAGACTGAGTAGAACTATTATATTGAGTATATTGCACATCATCCTCGTTCTCCAAGTAAATCTTGCATGAATCGTGACACACTTTGATGAGCGTCCTGCAGTTGCATTGTATATCTACTTTATCACTCTGGCACAGTTTAATTTTGAAACAACTTGCTGTTTGTGTAGGTGGCACGTATTGTGGTTTAGGCAGGAAAAAATCTGACACAGAGTTACTGTCGCTCTTTCTCAGCATGACAAACATATTTGTCATATTTAAAGGAATGTTCATAGCCTCCTGAAACTCGTCACATTCCAACATAGATCTGCAAATACAATAATATAACTGAATTTTATTTAAATATAAATTTATGAATGTATTCATCGAATTTTCTCTTTATTAACCTCATGAGTTTTAAAAGTGGTTTTCTCGAGGAATGCTGATGCTCTTTGTGCTGCTTGCTATTGAGAACATATGAGGGAAGCTCTATTCCGATGTAAAGCTTCGGCGATAATATTGTAGCACCGAGTAATATAGCGACTTCTTTTATATCGCAGCCTTTGAGAAAGAATTGCGAAGACAAATGATCAGAGACACTCTTCAGCGTGCTTGATAGAGTTTTAAAGGAAACCGCATTCCTATCGGTCGCCTTTACGCTCGTTTGATATTGAAATAACGCTTCGTACGTGAATGGTATCTGCTGCTTTTGATAGAGAATATATTTTATCAGCTCCATCACCACTTTCGTGCAGGAGTCGCTGGTCAGCGGTTCGTCTAGCATCACATCGATCTCCATTTCGCCCTTTCTGTTTCTGGAGAACATCTTGAAAGAGTGAGTCTTGAAAAGTGACGCCGCCTCGATACACTCTGAGAGATTATTGTGAAATATCCGTCCGTCCAAAAAAAAAGAACGAAAAAATGGATGTTTATTCAGAACTTACGCTTGTATTCGCGCTTCGCTTTTGCGTCAGGTTTTAAGTCAGGTTAGGTTAATAAAACTAGCAATTTAGGTTAGGGCGCCGAAAGTGTTCCGCAAGTTTGTTTTTCTAGTCCTTGAATTGAATTTCCGACCCACTTCAGTGGATCACAGTACATACACCACAAGTGTTTGACCAAAATTCTGAAACGGTCCTCCTTGAGAAAGAGAGATTTTCTTTGCTCAAAATTATTGTATTCAGTAGTTAAATAAAATGACCATTTCTTTCCCACTGGCAAGTCTACTTCGCATAAGCGAAGGCAAATCGGAGGTATTCAGCACCTAAACACAAGTTTGTTCTTTGTAACTGGAACTGTTCATTTTTTGTTCCTTTACTCTCCTTTTTGAGTGTAGAAGGTGTAGATGTTGTTGGCCCATATTTTGAATTCTCTTATTTAAAAGTGTTTCTAAGAATGACTTAGAAGCTTTCTAATTAGCTATAAGTCAATTTTAAAGACATTTTTATCGATAAAAAAAGATTTGAAATATGGACTTTATTATAGATTTATCTTATTATCTACGCCATTTTCATTTCATTTGGGGTGCAGCATATCGCAGCTCACAGAAGAACTCGGTGGTGCAACTGCGAAGAAACGGATTCTGCTTCCCGTGACATTAGCGCCAGATGTTGGTTGCCATGTTTGGTTAGTTACTATGTTCAGCTTATTTACATTCGCCGTTGAGACGCATGAATTTTGAAGTTTCAAGTTTTAAACGGCCGTGGAAAATGGAAGAAAGCAAAAATTTAACGATGAGAAGACTGAAAACAAAGCAGATGAATAAGCTGTTGGAACTTCTACAGCAGCAAGTAATTATTTATACTTTTTTTTATCAATCTAATATTTAATGCGTCTGCAGATATAAAAAACTGTAGATGTATTCTGTCGTAAAATAAAAATGTTAATGATATCAATTAATTTATCATTTAAGATTGGAAATCAAAGTTACTTTCCTTTTTTAAGGTAAATAAGCTGTTATCCAATGCTTCTATTAATCCATCAGAAGTTCTGGCTGCAAAATCAATATTTTTTGAGCAGTTATATTGTTTAACTAAAAGATTTAATAATATAACAAATGATGACAATTATGACGAAGAAACAAATGTAAAATTAACAGATACAGCAAATGTGAAATATACTTCTTTATTGAAAGATATCGATGAACTTGTAACTAACAGAATTTTAACATATTATTTGATATTTTATTCTTATTAATATATTTTAATTCGGTATATTTTTTCTTAGATCAGGGATATTAGAGGTAATATTGACAGCTATGCAGCAGAATATATGACAAGATTATTGCTTGATAATTTTATATTGGCCTTGCGAATGTTGGAAGATTTAGAATGTTTGCCGTTGAAGCAGAGGCTTCAGGATTGTCTAGACTATGTCAGAGAAATGAGCACAGCAAATGAAATTGAAGATCTTCAAAATATAAAGGTAATTACGAAATAAATTTGATGTATGTATTAATCTTTTAATATAATGGGTCTTACAGGAACTGGGTACTTCAATATTGGAGATACTTGAACCACTGCAGAATTATAGAAAGAGTTTAATATCTGCCTTTCTATCACAGAATCTAGCTTTATATATCTCTCAATTATGCACGTCGTTTCAAATGCTGGTACAACTGACTCGGGAGCAGCATGAATTAAATGCACCAATTTATGTAATAAATTACATATTTAATATTAGCTTACATAATTCAAGCTTCCTTTGTGTCTACATTGAATAAATATATACAGGTTTGCAAGAAATATATTTGTGAAAGAATATGCACTTGTTGTGAAATGATTTTGGACTTGATGAAAGATTCAAATCTATCAGTGGACATGGAAATTTGTGAGAGTGAGAATCATTTCGTCTATAGGTAAAAGAATATGAATATTTCTTTTATTTCAATATATTTTGTATATGCAATAAATATATTTGATTCATATGATATTATGATACACTTGCAGAATGGATTTGGCATTGGATATTATATTGGAAATACCAAATAAAACGCACAAAGAGCAATTATCTGAATGTGAGGAACTGTGGTTGAGATTAGAGGATGTTTTCTCTCATGCTATGGCAATTACTCAAGTGTGTCAACCATATAATTTTAAAGCCATAACTGGTTCATGCCAATCCATAGTAATGGAATACGAGAAATTAAAACAGCAATTACTAACAGAGATTCCGGATCCAGCATTAAACAACTTGTTTACGCATACCTTGACCGATGCTCTTTATCGTTTGGAACGTAAAATTAATATAGCGGTATTAACGCTCGCAATGGAGATATTCAGCAATCCTTACGCGGCTTTGAAGAAGCTCGTTATGACGTGCGGAAATTCATTGAGTGCGAAAACAAGATCCAAGAGCGATCTAAACAATCTCATAGAAGATTTTGACCAGCTCTTCGATCAAACTATGCAAATTGGAATGTTTGCTATTGCTTGCTGCAAAAATAAGAACCGTCAGTTGCTTTTCTTCATAAAATAAGCTATTAACGATATTTCTAAGTAATTAAAAATATTTAATGCAGGTTTTATTTTAGGCAATAATAAAATTCGTAATTGTCTTGCGGGATTCGAATCCTTAGAAACTGAATTAATTTCTGCCATAATTTCCTTTTACCTGCATCCAGATAACAAAGAAATGCGTTCTAGCGTTAAATTATTGACCACGCAATGGCAGCTAGAAATGAATAAGTTTCAAAATACAGTAAATCTCATTGTAAACTCGGCTGCCTTCTGTCAGGTAAATACAGATTTCAAAGAATTATCTGTAAGTGTACTTAAATATATTTTTTATTCAGGTAGTTATAGATAGTCTTCAAGAACGTATAACGGCAATCTCAGATTGCCTGGATAACAGAGAACCGGTAACGCAACTTCAAGTGCAAGGTATTGTTCAGCGCGCTTCAGCTCTATCTAGTCAAATCACAGCAATCGTAAATGACATTGGTACTGAAAACATTGATCGTCAAACGATAATGATGACGAGAGAATTAAAAGCAGGTAATAATTGCTGCTATTAAAATTGATTACAGTTCCCTGGATGGATATTTTGTATTCGTCTCTTTATTACAGCTATATTTGAAGCTAATGCAGCTGCCAAGACTCTTCTGGTTGAAAACGCAACAGAACCTCAACAATTGCGAGTGATAAAACGATGCGAATTAATATTAAACGTCGTTCAAAGATTGCAGCCCGCTTTATCTACAATCATGAACAATACTATGCGTGAAAAATCTGCAAGAGGTCAAGGAGATTCCAATCACGGCACGGGTAAATGATGTTCAATAATGTTTGTCAGAATCCTATGTAGAATAAAACTGTTTCGCGCACTATGGACGAATTAAATTTTGCGCATATTACAGGCGATGTATCAAACATGAATTTTCCATCTGTAATTTATGGTCTACCGCGTGATGAAAATAGTTTAACTTATATCAGAACACCTTATACAGGTTTGTAACAACTTTCTTTCGCGTATGGATTTTTGTATGTATTTTGTATACTGTTTCTTTAAATTAATTATTGAGCTTTGTCTATGTTTCAGTAAAAACATATAAGTCGCAAGTATCTATTCAACCAGCGAACAGTATAGTGCAGAAACCGATGGACCTCTTGTATTTGATACCTTATATAAAAAACGGCCGCACGCTGCGCAGCGAACGTTCCATCATGTACAATACACCGCATAAAAATAAAGATGTAGCAGAGATAGCCGTTAGAAGCGAGATGTCCTCAAGAAATCTGTCTAGCATCAGACAACATCTTTTTAGCAGAGAAAGCTTTAGCATCCATGTCGACTTCGACATAGCTGAAGAGAGCATGGATTTAACAGGTAATATATTTAAAGAGATGATCTTTAAAGAAAGAAGAGGAACTGCAAGTACATTAAAAGCTGCCATTTCAGCTGCTTTAGAGAAGATATCTTCGTCATCTACATCGGGAAACGCAACGTTCTCGTCATGCCAATCTTCGAAAGTAGAAAACATTTCGCCGGAAAAAGAAAATAAGGAATCGGTCTTCAACATGGTAGAAAAATTATGTCAAACTGCCAGTTTGGAACCGAAAAACTGTTTAAATGAGTCCGTGATTGTGGAGAAATTGGGCGAATGCACCATATCTGGCGGTGGCGATGCGTCTTTGATCATGGACTCTTGTCAAAAGCTTAATAACACTCACTCTCCAAGTAATGAGATACAAAAGTCGCCTTCGGAGCAACATGAGGTATAAAAAAAAGAAGATATTTTCTTAAATATTGAATATCAAAGCAATTTTTTTATGTTAGTCTTTAAGATGACTATTACATTAGTATTATAAAGCAATTTGCTGTGCGATTATGCATCGCATCGTTATACAATAATTGCATTAATAAAACTTAAATTTGAATTGTAAATGTTAAATTTATCATAATATTTATTTCATTATATAAAAAAAGTTGAAACGGAAAGAATTTTTTTTATGTCCTTTTCCACGGGGAAACGAAATCGTCAAAAGTTACTAGAATATCTTGGGAATAAATAGAAACCAATTACCGAGTGAAGATAGCTTGAGAGTTACCAGGGATCACACAATCGACAAAAATCGAAATAGCAATTCCAAAAAATCGCGATTTCCACAGCTCATGAATTTCTTATGATTCCATGTTTTTTTTTTTTTTTTATTATTACATATATATATATATATATATAGTCATTCAAACATGGTTGTTCCTCGTAGCTGAGCTTTTCATGCTCTCGTCCCTCTTTTTCCTTCTCCTTCCAATGTCCGATTATGTTTGCCACTTCGTTTCAAGTGCAAAAAGTATGACACAAGTGCAGTTACCAGGAACGGCCCTTGTATGTCCGAACGTATCAGCTTCTCGTTATGTCGAAACGAAAACGATGTAATAGAAGGATTCACATTTTCCGCAACTCTCCTAGTTAGTGGCGGGTGAGAGAAGACGGTACGCGGGACCAGCGAGGAGGAACGAGACCAGGCGATCCAGCTCGTTCACGAATCGGTCCAAGTCAGTCCACCGAACAAAACATGGACGCCGTGGAGATAAATACGTCGGATCCGCCGCAGGGCGAGGACGCGATCGCGTCCCCCGTCAAGATATGCCGCGTGTGTCTGCTCGACAATCTGATGATGCGCGATCTCTTCGCGGAGACCGAGGTCGCGTCCCTGTCGGAAAAGGCGATGAGCTTCGCCAACGTTAAGGTTAGATAAGCGTAATTTGGAGGTTAGATACCGACGCGAGATCCTCGAGTATGTTATTCTTTCCTCCTGTTTCCTCCTCAAATCCTCTGGATGAATCGAATCTCCTATCAACGATCTTCCCGCGACTCTCCTTTTGCCTTTTGTTTATGTAGAATGATTAAGCTGTTGCCTTGTCGAGTCTGCAAACGTTCACGCGCATCCCCTGTCTTTAACATCTTTACGACTACTATAAAAGCCCCCTCGAGTGTCACGCAGAATAATATAATCTTTAAATAGATGCCTCGTTAAGACGAGTGTTGCACATGGCACCGAAGATGTTAGTCACGACATTGGCATAAGTTTGATCTCTTTTTGAATACAATAATAATGATTAAGATTTAATATCTATAATAGTTGTGATCGATTTCCTTCTAATACATAGTAAACCATCTGCTTTTATTAGATGTTACCAGGCGACGGTCTACCAGCACAAGTGTGCTGTATGTGTGCTGACAAGCTAGAGTCGGCGTACGAATTTAAGTTACAAGTGGAGCAAGCTGATAGTGTTCTTCGAGAGAAACTCGAGGTTGGAGGAATAATAAAGGAGGAATTGTTTCTTAACGAGGTTGAAATCCACTTAGATGCCGAGAGGAGTGACAATATGGATGAGATAAACGTTAGTGCTGATTATGGATCTACTGCAGTGTTGCCAGTGGAATCGGAAGCTGACAAGAATTTTCTGAAAAATCAGTTAATGATGTTGGAAGCTGAAAAATTGGCAGAGACGGGAGAGATACAGCAAGGTAGATAAAAAACTAAAAAAACAATAATAAGCTTTGAATATTATTTTAGCATTAGTAATTTAAAATTTTCAAAGAATCTATAATGATAAAGATTCCAACTCTGTTACTTAGGTTCACAAGACAATTCACAGGAAATTACACATGAAGTTAGTCAAAGTATTGAAGAATTGCAGCAAGAACTAACCAGCGAGGATGACAATGATATGGCGGATGTTATCGAGGAATCTAGAGATGAAGTATCCAATCACGAAAATATTATTCGAAGTTGTACCGATGCGATCCCAACAGAAGAGCATGATTATATTATGCAGCAACAGTGTATCCTGCCTGCTGAACAACTTTCGTTGCAGGAAGAGATGCAGCAGAGCGTATCAGTACTTGAACAAGACACAATGGAACATCAAGAAACATCAATCGAGCAGAATCAACAGATTCATCCTGAGCAAAACCAAGAGAATCAGATCGAGGCATCTCAAGAAATTCAGGCTGAGCAAAACCAAGAGATTTTGATTGAACATAAACAAGAAATTCTGATTGAACAAAATCAAGAAGATCAAGCCAAACAAGTTCAGGAAAATGAAGCTGAGCAAAATCAAAATAACAAGGAATTACTTAAGGAATTGTTCAAGGAAGAATTTAAAATCGATAGTAATGAGCCAACAGTGGAGCAAGAATCATCTCAGAATGAAACCAGAAGAAGTAAACGAAGATTGGCACGTCGAATATTCACCGAGCGAGATTCCGACGAGGAGAACTATTTCGAAAATCTGAATCTCAGTTCTCGATTGAAAAAGGCGCAAGCGGACAAGACAGAGAAGGTCTTTTACATGTGTTATTTGTGTGACAAGCAATTTCTTTCAAAGAGCGTCTTGAAAGAACATATGCATTCCCACGAAGAGGTAAGAAAGACATTGTCGTTGAAGAAAACGCCAGAGAAACCGCAAAAGGTGCCGACCAATGTTTCCATGACGAAAACTCCGCCATCCGGAAAGAAAGCCAACAAGTGCACTTACTGTGGTAAAGAATATCTGTACATAATCTCGTTTGCTAAACACATTAGGCAACACGAGCGGGAGCGAGAGGAATCTAAAGAAGATCCGATGCCGCTCGAGGTATCGTTCCACGAGGATGAAAACAGTCTAGACTTTGACAACGCCAACAGATCGGATGATGAATGCAGAAAACGAAAAATAGGAAGTACATCCGACGACGCCGCGAGCGATAATGATCAAGATAAGAAGAGAAAGCGTAGTTACGTTGAGGAATTTGCGTGTGATAAATGTCCAGAGAAATTCGATACAAAACGCGACTTGCAGAAGCACTTGCTTACACATATTAGCTTCAAGTGCAGTGTGTGTAATGAGGAGTACGAAACCCTGGAGCAGCTGAGAAATCATCGAACGAAACACGTGGTCGAAGGCGTGCTCAGCGAGCAGGATTTGGAGGAGGACATAAAGCAGAACATCGAGAACAACGATGGAAACAACAAGAATGAGGACGAGGAGAATAACGGCGAATCTACTGAAGAATCTACGAAGGAATTCAAATGTCCGACATGTTCGATGATGTTCTCGCGCAAGAAAGCTCTCTCCAGACATATAGAGACGACACACTCTAGCACTCGTTCTTATGAATGCAAGATATGTTGTCAGCAGTTTGTTCGAAAGGATTTGTTACGAAGACATGCTGAACAGCATGCACGAGTAAAAACCTACAAGTGTACCCAATGCAATAAGACTTTCGGCAACGAACTGACTCTAAGAAATCATTTGGTTGCCACGAATCATAAGACGTTCATACATGGACAGGAATACGATCCGAATAAGCGTATAAAACGCGTGGCGGCGAAAGCGGCGCAGAAGATCATCGATAAGATCAAGACAGAGGATGGACTCGAGGATTACGACGACGATGACGACAATACCGATTATAAGGTAGACGGGCATTATCGCCGTAAACGCGATGCTACACCAAAGAAGTATAATTATAAGAAGGAATTTGAGTGTGCAACTTGTAACAAGAGATATAGTTCGAAACAAGCGCTGACGAAGCACATGGAGCAACATGTGAAGGAGGAGAAAGCGGAAAAGGCAGCGGAGAAAGTGGCGGAAAAGCTGAAGAAGGCCGCTTTGGAGAAGAAGGAGACGCAGAAAACTAGTAACACAGGCGATAACGATGACGATGACGACAATGATTCTGATTTTGAAAGCGGCCTCGACTGGCCGATGGATAGTCATGAGTGCAGCACGTGCAAAAAACGATATAGTACGAAGAAGTCATTGTTGCGTCATCAGTTGTTACATGAGGAACCGAACTTTGAATGTGACATCTGCAACGTCAAGTTTTATCGCAAAGACAAGCTGAAGGCGCACTACGACAAGTGTTCGGAGAAAAATCCTGACCAAGTAAGGAAATGCAATATTTGCGGTGACAGTTTCGAGAACAACGAGATCCTACGGGAGCACAGAGCCAAGCACGTCACCGAGGGTATTCTAACGGAGGACGATCTGAGAGACATCGAGCCAAAATCCGAGGAAAAGAAAACAGGCGAGAAGACTGGCCGGAAGAGAAGAACCGACATCGTGGGACTCGAGTGTACCGAATGTAATAAACAGTACACTTCCCGAAAGGGTTTGCTGCGGCACATTCAAGTGCACGAGGGTAAGAAGTACCTATGCGACATATGTCCAAAGAAGTTTTACCGACGAGAACATCTGAAGATCCACGTGGCCAAGCACAACATGGTCAAACCGTACAAATGCACCCGTTGTACCAAACGTTTCATCAAGGAGGAACAGCTCAACAATCATCTACCCAAACACGACCGCACTTTCAAAAAAAACAAGGAGACCGACAGCTCGAAAAGATTTCTGTGCGAGATCTGTAGCAAGAGCTTTACGCAGTCGACGACACTGATAGCGCATTTGCGCGCCCACAACGGCATCAAGCCGTTTGTGTGCGAGGTGTGCTCCAGGCCGTTCACCACCAATGCGTATTTGAAAATGCATATGCGCACGCACACGCAGGAACGCCCGTACATTTGTCAGTATTGCTCGCGAGCATTCGCGCGTGCTGACACGTTAGCAAATCATTTGACGTCACATACCGGCGAGGCCAAATATCACTGCAAGTGTTGTCCAAAGAACTTTCGACGACTGAAGTCATTAAAGGAACACATGTTTATTCACACGGGTCAACGACCTTACGAATGTCCGACTTGCGATAGGAAGTTCAACAATAATGGCAGTCGCTATGCGCACAGTAAGCGTTGCAAACAGAACCTTTTGCAGAATCAGAACCGAGCGCAGCAGATGATTCAACAAACGCAGCAGCAACAACAGCAACAGCAGCAGCAGGTGCAGCAGCCTCAGCCTCAGCCGCAACCAATGCAGATACAGGTACAACAGGCGCAACCACATCCAGTCAGGCTGCATCAGGCTACAATCGGTCAAGCGCAAGTAGTCAAGGCACAGAATATCAAGACAATCGCTATAGCGAGACAGGCCGACCCTACCACGGTCGCCACGACGCAACAAGTTATACAGCATCAGGAGTTAATAATGCCTCTAATCTTACCACTTACCGTCACTCTTACCGACGTTGGTGAGGAGGTAATACTACCCGAAGGTACAAAGATATTCACCACCACTTAATTGAGTTATCTCTTTTTCCATTATGATATAAGAAAAAAAAAGAGATATACTATTCGACGATGAAAGTGCACCTTGATGATTGCTCAAGTTGAATAAATTGAGCGTTCTATTCTTCTGTGACTCTTCCGTTTTCATCCCTGTAATTTTGATGCTAGAAAATCGGAAGTGTGATGCTTCATGATGAGATATCGTGCGTTATCAAAGGATTTTCTTAGATTGGACAAGAAAGGGTACGATGCTCCATTAGATATACTGTTATGCGAAACGTACGATTTAATATAGAGAAGAGAAAGAAAGAGAGAGTGTACATCATTTTAATTATGTATGAAACGTTATATTGAAATTTATTTTTGCAACGGTGAAGGTATTATAAAAAGCGATATATGTATAATTTATCTAGAAGTTTTAGCTATATGTACCTTTCCATAATATAACGTGTATTACCGAGAATGAATAATGTAAACGTTTTTGACAAATCATGAAAAGACAAAAAATAAAGATGTCTTTATCATGAACGTGCGTTGTATATGTAAAATAGTTGGATTTTCTTTGAGAGACATAATATGGATATAAGAGAGTAGTTTTTAAATACTTAAAGTTTAATGTATTAAGTAATAAGACTTGTTCCAGAAATCTTACTTTCACTTTTTTTAATCGAATACTTTCATTAAAAAATCGATTGCAAAAATAGTTTGAATGTTATCAATCTTATCGTTTTTATTATAATTATTAATTATACTACGTAATTATATAATTATATAATTGTAATCATATAATAGTAATTATATAATTATAACATTATATTGTATACAATGAAATTATAATAATTGATAAACTAGAAATACAGCGATTCTAACGAATTGAATAACGAATTGTAATCTGGCATCATATAAGAGTTTCTTGGATCTTTATCCAAATTTTTTTTCTTAAAACTGATTTTCTTGACTTTGATCTTCTTTTCTATATGTTTAATCAATATTATATTTCAATTGTATATTGCTATATTGTGTTAATATTGTGTTAATATTAATTCTTATTAGAATCTGTTGTCTTATATAGAATCTGTTAAGTGATGTCATGCTGTGTTTTCTGGAATTGATTCGTATGAACGTTTAGTTCGCATATCTGTTATATTTACAACAAACAGTTCTTCGTACAAAATTCTATACAATTTAGTAATTTTGTTTCCACTAAAGCGTATGATAAACGAAATGACAAAGGTTTCAAAAATTATAAATTTTATAATAAGTAAGTTTCATGCGACGTGCTCTTACATATAATAATAATAACAATAATTCGTGTCTGCGTAACAATTGTAAAATTAGTACGGAACTGAACTACATGTATAAATATACCATAAGCATTGTTATATGTATGTGAGACATGATTTCTTATTTAGATTTTGTTGTAATAAATAAAGTATTTGTTCTAATCTTATGGTTTGTGGTATTAGAGTTATTAAACTTACTATATTGATATATTTCATTATATATGTTAATTCGAGCTGAAGAAATTCTTTGTAGTTTTACAATGCATTATCCAAAGAGTAATATAATAAATTATAGAAAACTTTGTTCACAAATATCATTTACTCTATGTCGAATGTTTCAATGAATTAATAAGGAAAATAATGGAAAAAACAGCTTACATATATTATTAAACCTTTTTCTATATCTTCTCTTATCAGATATCAAAGAAAACTGAAATAATCAATAATAATAATATTCAAGATCTTTATGCAAAGTTGTAATATCAATGATTAAATGATTTTTTACTAACTGATAAGAAAGAATGTAAATATATTTTTTTATTGCAGCGTGTTTGCACATTTATAAGACTATTTAGCACGGATATATACAAATTTTTATCTTGATGCAAAAATAGAAAAATTATGTATATATTTTTTATTAAGCTGTTGTCAATGTTGACAAGATTTTGGCAAGAATGACGTACGTATTATATACGTAAATTGCTTCGTTTAAAATTTTTGTTGGCTTAATGTAGCCATTAAGATAAGATTGATAATATTAGAAGCAAAACAGAAATTCTTGCAAAATAAAATATTTTTCAATTTAAGATAGATGCAGTGAACCAGCGGAAGTCTTAAATGAAGAATTACAAGGAGACTTGTAGTTAGGGATCATGAAATCCCTAATATCTTCAAATAGCTGCAATGAAAAAAATCATGACATTCAAACGATATTTTGTGCAATCAATATGTGCTGCTTTGTAATATAAAAAGTTTTATTCAGTCGCGTTTGTCAAATCAACATGATATAGAAATATGATAGAGAAACGATGTAATATTTTACAAACAGAATATTACACACAGTCTTATAGCTGTCCATTTGATTCCATTGTACAAGTCACAATCATATCTTCTTTTTTTCCTTCTATTTTTGCTAGATAGCAAATAAAAAGGTCGCTTTGTTTCAACTGTCTATGACCCACAAGATATTAATTCCGGATGATCCTGCGTTAACTCGTCCTAACATACCATGATTTCGCGATTTGAGTATATACAAAAATAGTAAAAGTGTATGAAACAAATTATTGCGTCCCTAAAAACGTAAATGTCATCATAAAAAAATGACAAAAAGATACGCTATATAAATGTGCCATCGATATACATGAGATGAGATTTTAATTACCCGTTGTACTTCCTCGTAATCACTTGGGAGAGAATCACCAGATAGTGCCAAGTTATAGTGCGGCGGATTTATGGACTGACAGACTATTATTGGACCTTTACTTCGCGGGAGTTCCATACCAGATCTTGCCATATATCTCGATGTAAATGGTCTGGCGTCCGGTTGATCCAAGGGTGCTTCCAATTGTGTATCCATATAAGTTGCAATTAAATGCATTATTATCTGCAAGAAATGCATATTGTAAAGATCAATAAAATTTTTTTTCGACTCTAAAAATTTATAATTTTCTATATTTACCGCGGAATCTGTTGGCAGGCTGGAATCCCATTCTTTACCGTTGTGAGATCCACCTCCGTTCCATTTAAACTCACTCATAGATCCTCCTTTTGCAAGTGTTTTTATTCTTTTTACGAGATATTCCTGATTATTCGAGAGTTCCAGAAAAGGAACCAATGTAGGCAGAGTTGGAATCACACAAACCAAAAATTGCGCTTGTGCAAGTTTCCTGAGTCTATCCAATCCTACATGACCAGGCTGCGAATCACTCAGTCCGTGGCGTATTAATGTTACACATATACTATCTATTTCCAAAGCCACGCGTTCTACAACTGTTTTGCTGATCCACTAAGATATTTTATATGTTCGTTTATTAAAATATTCGATGACTCTTGTTCTTTAACATAAATCACTTTTTGTTTAATATCATAATTCTTACCATCCGAAGATTGGCAGTCCATTCATTTACTTTATTGGAATCGATTCTGTATTTTCTCCATACATCTGGTGCACCAAATGTGTCTCTGGAAGAACTTCCTTCCTCCGCAGGACTCGTTGCTTTAATTTTATCTAAATAACAATGTAGATAATTTTTAAGGATAATCAAGGAGAAATTTATATAGAACATTAAATCTTCCCAGATTTATAAATATTTACAAACCGACAGTGTTTTAATGCTAGAAATATACAAGATGAGTATACTTGATTAGATAAAAGTTAAAAAAATAATTATTAAGTCCAAAGATTCAGCCACAATAAAAAATTTCAGATTTACCTATAGTAGGTGCAAGTTGGTAAGCACATCTTCTTAACAATGGTGATACTTCACCAGGACTTCGAGTGGCAGGATGAGACCAGAAGGAGCTCAAAAGATTGGAGGGTTGATCGACATTTGTAGATAGTGCACATTTTCTCTTGTGCTCAATTTCTTTGAGATAATTCTCCAATTCACACTCATCCTGAATGATATCTTCGTTTGTCAAGTTACTACTTAAAGAAATATTCATGGATCTGTTGGCTGATCCATTAGAGCACATGGTCACTTTAGAGGATGCAGAAGTAGTACATTTAAGAAATGGGATTGAAGTTGAATAATCCTCTTGAAGGAATCAAACATAACAGAGAGATAGTTATATCTCATATAATCATATAATATATACAGCATATAATAATAAAAAAATGTTTTGCATACTCATGTCACTCAGAACTGAAGATCCAAGAGTTGCCGAACGTCTGCCAAGACCAATGCTAGATATATTCAATGAAGGACTTGGCTCTGGAGTCATTTGCTTCTTAGGCGTCTCATATTTAAACAGAGGATCATCCTCCGAGACTCCTAAAAGTGGCCTTTGTTTAGGATCTAGTGTAATTGGCTTTAAACTTAGAATGGCCCAAATATATTGAATAATATGGTATAAAGCATTTAAAACAAATATCAACGCTAGACACCATTCAATATAATAAAATGGTTTGTATGTAAATCCACCATAGAATCTGAAAAGAAAGAAGGAGTAAGCATTGTCACTGTTTTAGTGCATGGCTCAAGAGAGACTTACAAATCAAAAATTATGATGCTAAGTAACACGCCGTTGATTAAAAACCAAATGATACTACTGCGAGCTTTGCTTTGTATTTGCCGCATGTCCAATAACTGCTGTACTTGTGGCTTCGGCGTTAAAATTCTGCAAATAACATAGGCGAGTTTTTTAATTCATCGATTAATAAATCGCATTATGCGCAACTTTGCTCTATAAAAGCAGCATTTGCGCATTATGCGATTAATCAATCGATGAATTAAAAACTCATCTCATATTTATTCCGCTTTTAATAAAGCGGAATAAATAACTAATCCTTGGTATCCTAACCTCATCCGGTTAGATTTATAAAAGATTATTACCTCGCATTGGGAGATATACATTTCATAGGAGAGTGGAAGTTACTCATATTTAAAAATCTATGTCACGTTAACGTTAAATAATTTCTAATATTACTTTAAATTTCAAGAAAGGTATTATTACTCTCCCTCACTCTGTAAAACGTGATCTCAATAGCGAATAAATTCAAAATTGCTGCCAACAACACAACTTAACTTTTGCGAGCAAAAAGAGAAAAATAAATTTCTATTTACTCAGGGAATTTCTCTTGTACATTTATTCAATATCAAAAATAGGGAAGTTTTAACAAATTTATGTTAACATTTAAAGAAAAAAATTTTTTAATTTCACTAATTTCAATTCTTTCCTAAAATATAAGTAACAAAGATTGCATTAATATATAAAAAATTTTTTCAATTTTATTATAAAAATTTATTCTCTTTATTAAAAAATATATAACAATATACATTCATTTTATATTTATATAGATCCAACAACAACAATTCCATTAAAAATTATTAAAAGATCAACGAGTAGCGATCATGAAATTTTTCTCCTCAGTATCACTGGTATTTTTTACAATACAAAATAATTCAGAATAAACATTCTTGGAATGTCATATTAAAGTATTTAAATATTTATTCTGAATCATTCTGTGTATCACTTTAGCCTTCTAGTACTTTAGCCTTCAGTTAATTTTATTAAAAGCTTATTTTTGGCAACGTTATCACCTATAGAACACAGCACATCTTCAACAGTTCCATCTATAGAAGCCTTAATAATATGCTGCAAATTAAAAGATTAACTATATCATGTGCATATCGCGCATTGATGTTGATAATGCAAATAAACTCACCTCCATTTTCATGGCAATGATAACGAGCAATGAATCGCCTTTTTTTACTGTATCTCCCTTATTGACGAAGATCTTATCAACTAATCCTGGCATCGGACTTAATGCTGTATATGGATTTTGCTCAACTTGTCTTGTAATCGCGTTCACAAACTTAGGAGTGGGAATAACTAGTTGCCATTCGCGATCCTACAAACAAAATCATACCTCATAAAACTCTATGCTTAGAAAATTACAGGAATTTTATTAAATACCAATGAAATCACCTTGGTGAATATGTGTAGCTTATTATTGAGTTTCACTATTCGTACTTTGTTGATAATCCCGTCAATTTCTGCAAACAACTCTAAAGTACCATCTATCTTCTTCAAGGTTCCAATTACTTTTTCCAAAATCCTAATCTATTCACTCTCATCAGGTATACATCAGGTTCGACGTATTTCACCTCCACTATGTTATTCTCTTTTTCAACATTGAAATGAAATGTACAATTTAAAATGTGATTTATTCTGAACCCAGTTTCCATAGTGAATGGACTAAAGGGATCTTTTGTGTCTAAGGATGCGCTCAAAGATTCCATATCTTCATGCAGTATCAAGGCAAGCGCACCTTGAATTAGTATTCTATTGGATGATTGTAGTTTAGGGAAAAGTTGTTCAAAATTTTCTTTAATAAATCCCGTATGTACTTCGCCACTTTGAAATTTCGGATGTACACAGAGATCCTTGATAAATTCTATATTTGTGTCCAAGCCAGCTATCTATGTAAACACACAATCTCAATTACCAATTAAACATAATTGCTTTATCTGACAAAATATAATATGATATAATAAGTTCAATCATTATTTATTATAAATTCTTTTATAACATTTTTTATATAATATAGAAAGATATAATAAGAAAGACTTTTACCATTTGTTTAATTGATGCAATTTTGCTGAATTATTTTTTAAATTTTCATAAATATTCAATCATTACATTCAATTATTTTAATTTTTTTATTCTTTAATTATGTAACTTACATTGTATTCGCTGAGTTTCGATCTAAGTACGCTGAGAGCTTCGCTCCTGTCTTTCCCCCAGACCACTAATTTCGCTATCATAGGGTCATAATGTACAGATACCTCATCATTTTGTCGCACTCCAGTTTCAACTCTAACGTTGTCCATCGCTTCGGGAGGCTTTAAGTACAAAAGCTGACCGGCTCCTGGTAAGAAATCATTCCTTGGATTCTGTGACACAATAATGATAAATCCATGCAACATGACACATGAAATTATGTATCTATATTAGCACACGAAACGCGAATAGACGCGATATGCTAGGCCATTACCTCAGCATAAATTCTCGCTTCGAATGCATGGCCGTTAAGATTGATCTGCTCTTGTTTGAGCGGAAGTTCCTCGCCGCTCGCAATTCTCAATTGCCATTCGACTAGATCCAAACCAGTGATCGCTTCGGTGACGGGATGCTCTACTTGGAGACGTGTATTCATCTCCATAAAATGAAAACTATGATTATGCCGATCCATGATAAACTCCACTGTCCCAGCACCTACATATCCTACAGCTTTAGCAGCACGCACAGCTGCTTCACCTAACTCTTGCCTCAACTGCTGAGAAATACCGGGCTGTAAAATAAATTAAATTATACAACTATGTTTAGTTTTTTGCTCCTATACATCTCGATGATGATAGAAAAAGGAACATACAGCAGGCGCTTCCTCAATTACTTTCTGATGTCTCCTTTGTACAGAGCAGTCCCTTTCAAATAAATAAACGGCATTTCCATGTTTATCGGAAAAAATCTGCACTTCCACATGCCTAGGCTCAGCAACATATTTTTCCAGAAGCACCGCTGAATCGCCAAAGGCTTTCTGAGATTCGGTTCTCGCAGATTCCAACGCTTCGACAAAATCCGATTCCTTCTGGGCGATCCTCATACCTTTTCCACCACCACCGCGCACAGCTTTGATCATTAATGGAAAACCAATTTTCTTGGCTTCTGCCAGCAGTTTCTCATTCGTCTGATCTTCGCCATGATATCCTACAAATATGTAAGATTAAAAAAGTGATTTTATATTATTTCTCTGTTTAACTCTCTATAATTTAAATATTTTCATGCTTGAAAAAAATTTACATGTATAACTAATGAATTATGAAATATAAACTATGACAATTTCCAATATTTAAATAATTTAAGTAATTAAATTATTAAAGTATTTAAATAATTTAAGTAATTTTATAATAAATATTTTATTATAAAAATCAAACTTCTGATATGAGAAACTTCTGACTTTTTTTAATATAAAATTTGATTACCAAAACAGATTCTATACAAAGAAAAATAAGAATATATCTTATTGCAAAAAAATGTAATGATTACAGAGAAAAATAAGAATATATCTTATTGCAAAAAAATGTAATGATCTCAATCAGGTTTCGAATCTAAATCTCCCTACTTTCAGAGATGGGTGTCTTTACCAACTCGATTACTAAAGCACATAGAATATATGACTTCAAAATAACATAGCGTCATAGAAGTTAAAAGAGTTTAATATCATTTATACATCTAAAAAGGAGAAATTCAATCTACCTTCTATAATAGGAACTCCAGCTTTCGTCATAATAGCCTTTGAGGTATTCTTTATACCCATGTCTCTGATGGCATTGGCCGGTGGACCAATAAATATAATGTTCTCCCTTTGACATAATTCTGCAAATTCTGTATTCTCAGAAAGAAATCCATAACCTGGATGTACTGCTTGACACTTGGCCTGCTTGGCAACCGATATAATTTTGTCTTGTCGAAGGTAACTCTGACTAGATTGAGCTGGACCGATGCAATAAGCCTCATCAGCTTGCTCCACATGCATGGAATTCCTGTCAGCCTCGCTATAGACAGCCACGGTCCTTACACCAAGTTTCTTGGCAGTTTTCGTTATGCGACATGCTATTTCTCCTCGGTTTGCTATCAGGATCTACATAATAGATTTACATTAGAATAAGCATGTCTCTTAAGCAACAATTGATTGTCCTCTTCAGAAACTAACTTTGTTAATCCTTTTGATCTGTACAGCTGATTGATGTGAATCCCGAGTGCACGAGGTTAGCCAGCTCCTATGATCACGTAATTAATAATTAATTAATAACTAAAAACTGCTATTAAAATAATTAATATTTGCAATAGGACAATAGGAAAATACCATGTTATACTTGCCTATGAAATACCAACTTCAATTTTCCAAACATGATTCGTGTGTTCCAACTTGATGAATACATAATGCGATAGTACAGTGAAGACGTTTATCCAAACTATATATCTTAACTTCCTGTATGTCAGCTGTGATAAACGACATAACTTATTGGTTACGTGTCAATTCTTATCAGCCACCTATGACCCGATCCTTTGATGACCTGGCGCCACAAACATTTATCATTCTTTGTGATATACATTAAAAAAATTATTTACATTAAAAATAATAAAAAATATTATAATACTAAAAATTCGAGAAATGTTTTAGAAACTGCTACATACAAGTTTCTAATAATAATCAACTTTGATAAATAACAGTTAACCTCAAATAAATCTTTAAGAATTTATATGAGCCCATTTATTCGTTTATGTTAAAGGAACTTGTAATAATAATTGCACGTCTACAAAAAATGATTGGATTCATAATTAATGGTATTTGATTTAAAAAAATATAAGCAATTTTGAGTGTGAGAATAAAGTAGAAATTTACATTAGAAAATATGATAATAAAATGATATGTATTATCTAAAGAAGAATGGGAGGATAACGAAAAATACATCAGATGATAATAAAGAAATCTATTCTTTTAGATAAAGATACAAATTATTAAAGAAAAAATTTATGTTAAAGACATTTTAAAACAATTTTGAAAAAATTAATTGCAATAATATAAATATCAAAAATAAAATTAACGATAAATTAAAAAAATATTTAAATAATTAGTTTAATATGAAATAAATGTTAAAGAAATATTTATTCTAACGAAATTAATTATTATTAATTTTAAAAAAATTTATATTATTTTCTTTAATAAACGAATCAGAATAGGAATTCAATTCGTATATAATAAATTAAATATTTCAAAGAAAATTTGCAAAATGAAAAGTAAAATGCATATAAAGACTTGTATTAAATACATTCCATAAATAAGAAATGTTTCATGTATATGTAATTATATATAAAATATGTCCACATATAAAAAAATATAATTACATGATTATATATTTATATTTATATATAATTATATACATATGTTTTTATATATGAATACATTTTATGTAAAGCTTTATATATAATTCTTATATCTAATTACATGTGTATATAAAATTTTTTATTGGAATATCTTAAGTGAAGAAACATCTAAGAAAAGTTATTATGTGTAGAAATTGGCTTTTATAAATTAGTTCTTACTATTTTGGATTTATTGGAATATCAATTACAGTATCAAATTATAGATAGGCCATTAACTGGCCAGAAAATTTTAAAGAAAAATTTACAACTAGCAAAATTTTGACCAGTAAAAAACTATCTTGATATCTTGAATATCTTAATTAGCATCTCTGATAATTACTTAGATATGAAGTTTAAAATCGAGACAAAAACGTCTTAAAGATGTTTTTTGTCTCAATTTTGGATATACATTTATACACATGCACTTCGTATTGGCTCTAATTTACTAGAAACTAAAAAGATAAAATTAAGCAAATTAATTTTAACCAGCCCGGTAAAAATTTTTTGTGCAAAAAATACACACATACACACACACACACACACACACACACACACACACACACACACACACACACACACACACACACACACACACACACACTACTACACACACACATATATATATATAT